CTTAACCCTACGTTCACACCGTTGGAAGATGAGAACCACCCACCACCTGAGTTTGAACGTGCTGCAACACTAATTGGTGGGCGGTCGTTCGGAGAACAGGACTGGCACCCACCGGAGCCAGGCGGGGGGCGCGGCGGCAATGGGAGAGGAGGTGGAGACGGCGGCGACTACGGCGGTGGTGGACGCTGGAAGCACAGAAAATTGGAGATGCCCATTTTCGACGGCTCCGATCCCGACAACTGGACTGCGAGGGCTGAGATGTACTTTGAGGTATATCGCCTATTGGAGAGGGAGAAAATGGAGGCGTCGGTGGTCGCCATGGATGGGCCGGCAATGAAGTGGTTCCATTGGGAACAAAAACGCCGGCCGTTCTATGGGTGGCCGGACCTCAAACAGAAAATTTTGAGTGAATTCCGTCCATCTCACCATGGATCGTTACACGAACAATGGCTGGCCGTAACACAGGAGGGGACGGGTTCGGTGGCGGAGTATCACCGGCGATTTATCGAGACAGCGGCGCCGTTAGAAGATGTGCCAGAGAGCATCATGTTGGGTCAGTTTATAAATGGACTGAGGAAGGAAATTAAGGCAGAGCTAAGGTTGTTAAATCCTCCAAATTTGGAAAGGGCTATGGAGGTGGCAGGAAGAATAGAAGAAAGGAATCGGTTTGCGGAAGAGAAGAAGACTACTGGTGGTGGAGGATGGAAGGCTGGGCTGAGCTACGGTGGGTCGAGTCACAATGGCCCAGTAGAAAAGAGTGGGGGAGGAGCTGGGCTTATAAGAACTTATGGGCTGCCAAGTTCCTTGGGCCCAAAGACTTGGCCCAAGGCTCCTGAAGCATCTCAAGGGTCCGTCAACCAAAATCCATCCCTCTCAAGCTCCAGCAGTAGGGCAGTAGGGTCGACGCGCCGATTAACCGAGTCGGAGATGCAAGAACGAAGGGCAAAGGGGCTTTGTTTCCGGTGTGATGAACGGTGGGGAGTTGGCCATCGTTGCAAACGGAAGGAGCTCACGCTCATGGTCACCGGTGAAGTAGAGGAGGAAAAGGTTGAGAGTGAGCTAAATGAAGAGGAAGAGGCGTGGGAGGCTAGTGAACCCGTGGTAGGGGTATCGTTGTGTTCGGTGGTTGGCCTTTCTAACCCGAAACCCATGAAGTTGGGTGGAGAAGTGAAGGGGCGACGGGTTGTAGTGATGATTGACCCGGGAGCAACCCATAATTTTATTTCAAAACAACTAGTATCGGAGTTATCATTAGAGGTGCACGGGAATGGAGAGTTCGGGATAGCCCTCGGAAATGGAGAAATGATAAAAGGGCGGGGAGTGTGTAAGAAGGTGGTGGTCAAGTTGGATGGTGGAGTTTCTATCACCGAGGAGTTCTTACCCTTGTCCTTAGGAAATGCGGAGGTAATACTCGGGGTTCAATGGTTAGAAAAGTTGGGGTCCGTGGTGACGAATTGGAGGACGCATGTCATGAGGTTCGCCGTCGCCGGAGTGGGCGACCCCACCCTCGAGAAGTCACAAGTATCCTTGAAGGCCATGGTGAGAAGTCTAAATAAAGAGAAGGTGGGCATCTTAGTTGAAATCAGCAAGATGGATAAGGAAGGAGAGGCCCAATCTGGAAGGCCCAATCCTGAATATGTTGGGGCCTTACTTAAGAAATATCATAATGTATTTCAAATGCCCAACGGTTTACCACCACAACGAAGCCATGAACACTCCATTACACTCAAGGAGGGAAGCAACCTCGTGAGTGTCCGACCTTACCGGTATCCTCAAGTTCAAAAAGACGAAATCGAAAAGCTCATATGCGAGATGATTGAGGCCGGAATCATAAGGCCTTCGACTAGTCCTTTTTCAAGCCCGGTTTTGCTAGTTAAAAAGAAGGATGGGTCATGGCGGTTTTGCGTTGATTATCGGGCTTTGAACAAGGAGACGGTGCCGGATAAATACCCGATTCCGGTCATCGATGAGTTGCTTGATGAGCTCCATGGGGCTAAAATTTTTTCGAAACTCGATTTAAAATCGGGTTATCATCAAATTAGGGTTAAACCCGATGATGTCCCTAAAACCGCATTTCGTACCCATGAAGGGCATTACGAATTCCTCGTTATGCCTTTCGGTCTTACGAATGCCCCGGCGACTTTCCAATCATTGATGAATGATATATTTCGTCCTTACTTGCGCAAATTCATCTTAGTATTTTTTGACGACATTTTGGTGTATAGTAAGGGTGAGGATGAACATGCAAGGCACTTGGAGTTAGTGTTTGGGATTTTGGCAGGAAACAAGTTGTACGCCAATTTGAAGAAATGTGAATTTGGTCAAGTAGAAATTGCTTACTTGGGCCATGTGATTTCTTACCATGGTGTGGCCATGGATAAGGAAAAGGTGCAAGCAATATTAAAGTGGGCCTATCCAAGAAACTTGAGAGAGCTTAGAGGCTTTCTTGGGCTCACGGGGTACTACCGAAAATTCGTGGCCCAATATGCCCTCACAGCGGGCCCACTCACGGCCCAACTCAAAAAAGAGTGTTATGGTTGGACCGATGAAGCCACTCAAGCCTTCAACCAACTTAAAGAAGCTATGGTTACCGCCCCGGTACTAGCAATGCCGGATTTTGAGAAAGAGTTCGTGGTAGAAGCCGATGCATCGGGCTATGGGCTCGGGGCTGTCCTCATGCAAATGAGGAGGCCCATAGCATACTATAGTAAGATGTTGGGAGTTAGGGCCCAAGAGAAATCCATTTATGAAAAGGAGCATATGGCCATTTGTCTAGCCATAGTTCGTTGGAAGCATTACTTGATGGGCCGTCATTTCGTGGTGAGAACCGACCAACAAAGTCTACGGTACATCACTCAACAACGAGAAGTCGGGGGGGGCTATCAAAAGTGGTTGCGGAAGCTTGTGGGATTCGACTTCGAGGTGCAATACAAACCCGAGGCCTCAAACAGAGTGGCAGATGCGCTGTCCAGATTAGGCCGGGAAATGGGCCAGAAGGTGCAAGAAGCCCAATTCGCTGCTCTAGTATCTTCAACTTGGGTGAATTGGGCTAATATGGAAAAAGAATTGGAAGAGGATATAAGGTTGGGCCAAGTCAAGAAGGGCCTTGAAAATGGTGAGGGTCCATCAGGCTTTACACTTCAAGGAAATAGGCTTCTCTACAAAGGCAGAATCGTGATCCCTAAAAGCTCAAAATTCATAACTGAGTTGTTTGAGGGAGTACCACGCCACCCCCACTGGTGGTCACGACGGAGAAGTCAAGACCTATATTCGAGTCGCGGCAGATTGGTATTGGCAAGGAATCAGAAAGGACGTGGGAAATTTTGTACGCGAATGTACAATTTGTCAACGGAACAAGGTGGCTCAACGCCACCCTCTCGGCCTCCTACAACCTCATCCAATTCCAGGGGCAATCTGGGAAGATCTTTCCATGGATTTCGTGGAGGGGCTACCCTTGTCCAAGGGAATCGATTCCGTGCTAGTGGTGGTGGACCGGCTATCCAAGTATAGCCATTTTATTGGATTAAAACACCCCTTTAATGCGCTACGGGTGGCTGATTGCTTTATTAAAGAGGTGGTGAGACTTCACGGGTTTCCGTCTTCAATTGTCTCGGATCGTGACCGAGTATTTATGAGCATTTTCTGGAAAGAATTATTCAGACTCCAAGGCACTCAATTGAAGCGAAGTACGGCCTATCATCCACAGACGGACGGCCAAACGGAAATTGTTAACAAGGGGCTCGAGGTATATCTCCGGTGCTTTGTAGAGGGGCAACCGAGGCAGTGGGCAAAGTGGTTAGCGTGGGCTGAATATTCGTACAACACCTCACCGCACACATCGACCAAGATGACACCCTTCAAGGTTGTCTATGGTCGTGATCCACCAAAATTGTGGCGGTTAGGGGCAGGGCAGACGCCGGTCAGTAGTTTGGAGGAGGATTTGAAAGCGAGGGACTTCGTGCTGGAGGAATTACGCCTCAATTTGGTAAGAGCTCAGCAGCTAATGAAGGAGTTTGCGGATCGGCGAAGAACAGACGACGAGTTTCAGGAAGGGGAGGCGGTATATTTAAAGCTCCGACCATACCGACAGCGGTCTCTGGCAAAGCGGCCGTTCGAAAAATTAGCGGCGAGGTATTATGGGCCGTACACGGTGGTTCAAAAGGTGGGCAGGGTTGCATACAAATTGGACTTGCCATCCTCGTGTAAGCTACACCCCGTGTTCCATATTTCGCAGCTCAAACGGGCGGTAGGGGCGGCGGCTGTCAATCCGAGTATTCCAGAGCAACTCACTGACGACATGGAATTGGTAGTCGAGCCGGAATCAGTCCTAGAAGTTCGGCCAGAGAATGCAAGCACAGGGAACGGGTGGGAAGTCTTAGTCAAATGGATGGGATTGCCGGAATTTGAAGCGACATGGGAGGACGGCGAGTCATTGAATCAACGCTTCCCGGACTTCCACCTTGAGGACAAGGTGAGTCTTTTGGGGCGGGGTATTGTCACGGATGCACTTGGTCAAGGTCAAGGTCGAGGTGTCCAACCAAGTTCCATCAAGGTCTATACAAGGAGAAGGCAAGTCAACCAAGATGAGGGGGAAAAGCATCAGCAGCAAGCACCAATTAGGGAGGATACAAGCTCCAATTAAAAAGATGACAAAACTAATTAAGAGGAAGAGAAGGAAAGAAAGCAACTTAGTTTCTTTGTGCTATTTTATGTCTTTCTATTTTAGCCATGTATCACATGTAAGCTTCAAGGTCTTCTATGACCACCTTAGTATAAGTAGTGTAAGCTGTAATTTAGAGAGTTATCCAGAAACTGAGTGAAAAACACCTTGTGAGAGTGGTAGCCTCAAGCTACTAGAGAGAGTGATAGCCTCAAGTTATCAATTGTAACCCCTTCCTATCTTTAATCAATCAAGCTTTAAGCCTTCGTTCCCATTATTTGTTGCAGTAAATTATTATTAGTTCGTTCCCGGAAGTCAGTTCATCACAAATTTCAATACTATGGTTTCTAATGTTACGAAGTCCCGTCTCCCTCGTAACCCCATTTCTGCTCTTCATGACCCGACTTGGAAAATGGCTATGGATGATGAATTTCATGCTCTTATTAATAATAAGACGTGGGAGTTGGTGCCCCGTCCACCTCATGTTAATGTTATTCGTTCTATGTGGATTTTTACTCATAAGGTGAAATCCGACGGTTCTTTTGAGAGGCATAAAGCCTGCCTTGTAGATGATGGAAAACACAATAGATTGGCATTGATTGTGGGGGAAACTTTTAGACCGGTGGTGAAACCGGCTACTATCCGTACTGTTCTTAGCTTGGCTTTGTCTAAAGCTTGGCAAATTCATCAACTTGATGTGAAAAAATGCTTTTTTGCACGGTGAGCTTAAGGAGACAGTCTATATGCATCAACCCCTTAGTTTCCGTGATCGGACCCATCCTGACTATGTGTGTTTACTACGGAAAATCATTATATGGTCTTAAATAGGCACCCCGAGCTTGGTACAAGCGATTTTCTGATTTTGTTGCTTCAATTGGTTTTACTAACAGCAGGAGTGACAACTCTCTCTTTATGTATCGTGTTGGCTCGGATGTGGCTTATTTGTTACTGTATGTTGATGACATTATTCTTACAACTTCTACTAATGCTCTAAGGCGCTTTTATTATGTCCCTTCTTAGCTTAGAGTTTGCTATGAAGGACTTGGGTCCTCTTAATTACTTTCTTGGCATTGCTTTGACAAGGCATAACGGTGGATTATTTTTGTCACAACGGAAATATGCTGAGGAGATCATTGACAGGGATGAGCTCATGTAAGTCTTCGGCTACTCCAGTTGAAGTTAAGACGAAGGTCATTGCTTCGGGTTCCCCGTGCAGATTCGACCTTGAAACGCATCCTTGCTGGGGCGCTGCAATATCTCACTTTTACGAGGCCGGATATATCTTATGTCGTGCAACAAGTATGCTTACACATGCATGATCCGAAAGAGACTCATATAAGCGCATCATTCAGTACATACAAGGTACTCTTGAGCATGGTTTACATCTTTATCCATCATCTACTTCTACACTTATATCGTATACTGATGCTGATTGGGGTGGGTGTCCCGATACGAGACGTTCCACTTCCGCATCTGGATATTGTGTATTTTTAGGTGATAATTTGATATCTTGGCCATTTAAACGCCAATCTACTCTTTCTAACTCTAGTACCGGGGTGTTGCCAATGTAGTTTCCGAGTCATGTTGGATTCAAAATTTGTTATTGGAGCTACATTGTCCGATTAAAAAGGCTACATTGGTGTATTGTGACAATGTGAGTGCTATTTACCATTCGGGTAATCCGGCACATCAACAGCGGACCAAGCATATCAAGATGGACATACTTTTTGTTCGTGAAAAGGTGGCTAGGGGTGAAGTTCAAGTCCTCCATGTTCCTTCTAGGCACCAAATTGCGGGACATCTTTACAAAAGAACCACCACGTGTGCTCTTTGAAGATTTCAGAGATAGTCTCTAAGCGTCTGTCCTCCTCCCGCTTTGACTACGGGGGTATGTTAAGATATATTAGTCATAATATATCTTTGACTTTGTAAATATTCTGTTTCCTAGTCTATAGCTTAGAATATATTGTATATAGCTTTTACCTAGTTTATAGCTTAATTAGTGGCTGAAGATAAGCCTTGTACATTGATAAGCCTTGTACATTGACAGTGAAATGCAATGAGAAACCCACATGATACATTTCCTTCAATTACAAACACCCTTTGGTTTATGTTCTTGAGAGGTGGGTTGTACACTTGTACTTTAAGGGGTGTTTTTGAGAGTTACTATAAATTTTAATTGATATGTGAGGGGTGTTTTCCTCGTAAACTCTCGTTTGCCATTACCTTCTATTCACATCTTATATATGTTCATCTCTCACACACACACACTAACACACTATGAATATTAATTCGGTGGTCAAAAGTATTGCGATGGCAACATAGACAAAACCTTAATTTCTCTTGAAATCCCTAAATCACTAGTACAACAAGAGTAGTAAACAAAACCGCCAAGGCAAGTCAATTCCATTCTATGTAGTTTGTATCTCTCTGTTTATACATTTGGTTTCTTTTTATATCTTTACTATGATTCTTATCTCCCGTCATTAATCTATACTTATACATTAAAAAGCATTCCTAAAATTGTTTATATGTCATGTAGTTCTACATTCGTTGTGTGCCACATCATCATTTTGTGCCGCATAACCACTAGCATGGCAGTAATTATTTTATGTCATCATTTTCTTGAAAAAAACATCCCACAAGTTTCGAACATTAAACCTCATGGATGTAAGATAACATTTCTTACAATCTTAGCCAATTGTAATTTATGTCAACTATTTACACATAAATAAATTTATCTTTACTTAAACAAAAAAAAAAAGATAAAGAATATGTGGAATAGTCTCAACAATAATTCAAAGACAATGGAGGATTATTCTCTTTAATCTACTTTTTTTATTATCATGTTTCAAAGTAACAATCCGGTGCAACGCTCGGGCCATATACTAGTTATTGTTTTAAAAAGAGAGTGGACAAACATGATACTAAGGGTTTTAACATTAAGATGTGGGGAGTTAAAATATTTTCTTATATATAGTAAGGAATGAGGTCAAGGAGAGGTTTGAGGGGGACTTTATGATCCCTATTATCAGTTCCATCAAAAAGATACAATCAAACATCCCTAGCATATTTTTGCAATGGTGAATTGGTGCTATTACTTATATCAAGGCCTTCACGGCCTTCAAGCTTTGAGTTTTAGATATTGTTTTTGTCTCTTTCTTATCTTAATCAACATGTGACAGCCATAGAGAAAAATCACAACTGTAAGTCAGCAACCATGGTCTCAGACTTTTCGATAGTGTGAAAAAGCAAGCACCTTGCTAATTATACAAACTCTTAAATAGACCTAGTTCACATTAATTTATAATAAACCACTAATAGTAGGATCTCTATGTTTAAATGTTGCAATTTAAACATAAAGGTTGTGATATTAATACAAAGGTCACTACGTTAATAGGAAAAATTGTGAAGAATAATATGACCTTTCACCCGTCTTCCATAAATAAAACGACATTTTGATTATTTCGAAGTAAAATGACCTTTGACATGGATCTGCTCAAAATAGAATGCAACCAGTTGTTGACCTATTTAATAGGTTAATGGTAACACCTGTAGTGCGGTGATTGGTCAATTTTTTACAAAACTATTTTCTCATAAATAATTTATATTATTATTAAAAAAAAAACAAAAAAAACAAAAACAAAAACAAATCCATCACTGCTAGTCACCAGTAGCTCCAGCCCATCATTGCCCAACCACCACCAGTTCTTACAATCATACCCGCCCTCCTGCTCCAGTCCTCACCCCTCACCGTAACCTCCATCCCCAGCCCCAAAACCCACCATCCCGACTAAAATCTGATCCCAACCCCCACCCTAAACCATATCCAACATCAAACACCGTCCTTTACCCGTACCCTCCACTACATCGACAAACTCGATCTTGCCCCCACCAGCCTTGCCAAAACTCCTACCCCATCTTTCCACCATGAACCCAAACCACACTTCCAAACCTCTACGAGCCCAAAACTTCGCAACGAAACCCCTTCTACCACCACTATTTTCAAACACAACCGTAAAATTGATTAGCCCTGCAGGGATACGAGAGGATTTTGAGAGCTGCAAGAAGTGGGAGATGAAGGGAGTTAGGGGGCCTTGCGGGAAAGAGGGAGGTGACTGGTGTCACCTTGGGTTATAGGCGGTGGCTGACATAGGGAAGGAGAGGAGGAGGCAGAGTAGTTACAGGTGGAAAGGGGAAGGTTTAACTTTTTTAAAATAAAAATCATTTCATTTAAAAGAAAATTGTAAAAATTCAAATAAAAATCCTAATCAATCACTATGTGACACGTATCTGGTTTAACCTATAAAACAGGTTACCGGTTATTCATTCTTTTTAAAGAAGATGTATGTCAAAGGTTATTTTATTCCAGAATAATCAAAAAGTTGTTTTATTTTTGGAAAACCGGTAAAAGGTCGTATTATTCCTAACAATCAAAATAAAAGTCATTGTATCATTGCGAGGTCCACTTTTCTTAAATACCGTGATAAAGTGCGCGTTGCAACTATAAGGAAATGGAGGAAGTAGCATATTAGATGTCAGTATAAAGAATATCAAGGCTGAATAGACCAATTCAATAACAGAATGGACTTAAATTAGTTCCATGAACACACCCACTTGGCGTAATTTAAGAAAACTTGCACAGGCAGTAGCCAATACTTATTGGAAAACCAAAAAGTCCATGACAATTGGTAAAAGAAGGTCATGAACAGCAATTCATATACAGATAAAAATTCCAAGGGAAATTACCAATTTACCACAGAGGTCAGAGGTACCCATAGAAACTGACATCTCTTGGGAAGTGAGTTCTCACGCAAAACACATAAAGGCCTTTGAGTAATTAATTCAGGTAAACTGAGAAATATTTAGGACCTCTCAAAAACAGGGTTAATCAGAGAGCTTTTAGCTTACCTCAGCAAAATATTCAGCTTTTCTTTTTTAAAAGCTGCTGCTATATACTAGTCACCAAAGTAGCCAGAAACTTCATTTAATATAGTTGCAGCATTGCAGTTATGTGAAATGTCAGATCTCATCTCAGCTGCATAGAAAAGGCAATACAAATGAGGCACAAAAAACCAACCAGCCCAAGGAAAATAAAATCAAACTCCCTAGTGGCACAACCTAGCTAAGAAAGAACATAGATTGCTCCTCAAAGGAATCATTTACAGTACAAATTTGCATACCCCCTTGATTTAGATATATGAACCCCTTGCAACCATAATGTGGACCTCATTAGTCTTCTAAGTCATTTTATAGTCGTTATCTCATCATCATGGTTTTACTTTCACCTCAAATAAATATGGTTAAATCAAAACAGGTGGAGAAATGCTCAGCTGTTCATTACTTCATAAATAAGTTTGATGAGTTCACATAGGTTTAGGTAAGGTCAAACAAGTTTCACTACTGAGTTTGGTGAAAAAGACAACACATTGATCACAATGTTACTCATAATTTAAACTAGAGTGCTTAAGATACACGCCATGACTTGTCTAGTCATCCAGATAATACATTGTCTCCACTTAGGCACAATCAAAGATTGGCTTTAAACATAAATTTAAGACTCAAACTGTAATCATCTATAAAATAATTTGGCCTGATAAAATCCTGTTCTGTGGCCTTGCAGTAAATCTACAGCAATTCCTCAATCATTCACCTTCACACAAACTAGTCAGAGTAAGGAAAATTACTAGTTATGGAAGAAGTGTCATCTATAATGTTTAAACTTAGCTCATTGAATATAATTAACGCTTTTCACATGTTATGAATTATGATCCTCAACATAAGTTTTGTAATCATCACTTTCCCTATGATAGCACATATTCATTGAGTAGTCCAGCTCAAAAAACAATGAAATTGAATAAATTAGACCCTGCAGAGTCCAAAAAAGTAATATTACTCAAAACTAAATCTTTTACACCTTAAACAAATTCTAAAAAAGAAAATCAACTTCATCTATTTATAAGTCTCAGAGTCCCATTTTTTTTGTTGTTACCCCTTTTCTGGATTGTTGTTCACATAATCACGTGGGAAACAATTTGTAAAATTCTTCTGCTAACCCGCTGAATCCTAATCGAACTTACATTGTTTTCCAGCGAAATATTAACTCGGAGAAAAATGAGGAACACCAATCTAAAAGACAACATATTGAATCTAAAA